TTTTAGACAGAAAAGTCTAAACTCCTGTGGGAGACGTAAATGCCTTGTTCCCTTGGGCATAGAATAAGCTGGTAGTCAGACTATTAAGGTGACCTTCCCTGCTTTTATTTTAGATGCAGGAGTCAGGATGAGACACTGAGGTTTGCAGGCAGTGGTCAGCACTTTGGGCTGTTGTGACGCACCACGGTAGCGCCTGGTCCCTTGCTCTCAAAGGCTGAGCGATCAGAAACTGCAGCGACAGTAGCCCCTCCTGTCCCTTAGATCCACACTTTAGGGAAGCAAAGCACAGAGGGATGCTTGTCTTCTAGCTGTCTCCTTACGAGGGAGCAGTGCTTGTCCCCTGCCCCCTGTACTTCCCCATACCTCTCTCCAAGAGAGATTTTTGAGACCCTTGCCTTTTTCTCAGGCTTTGTCCGAAAGGGCTCAGGGGAGAGACAGTGGGTTCCTACTGGCACCATTTGTTTGTTATGGTGAAGCTCCCTGCAAACTACGCGGGATTTTTTCCTCTCCTGGTAGCATAGTGAAAAAGCATTTGAAAGAAACCAGCCAAGATCTAGGTTACAGATGAAGGCCATTATGCTGCGGTAAAACAGGCTCGCTTTCTTTTGAGCTGAGAAGTTAATCCTCGGGGAGCCGTTATTTTGCTGGCAGCTCCAGCGGGAATGTTCACAGTGCTCTGTTTGGCTACCGATAGTCTCAGATAAGTGACTTTTACAAGGCTCCAAACAGGGCTGAGCTGTTGTATGCCAAAAATCCAGCCGCACAAAGAGAAAAGATGTGCTCTCAAATGAGCTAGCAAGTTTTCTCTTGCTTTGGAGAATGATAGTGACCCAGTCATCTACGATAAGATCTTATTTGAAAGTAGTTGAAAAGGTACTTATACAACTTAGAGTCACTGGTTTTGAGGCAGTGATTGTGAATTGATGAGAATTTCCTCTTCTATCTAGCCCTATTTAAGATTTCTCTTGTGTCATGTTATTTAGTATTTCTCACGCTCTCTAGTTTAGTAGTAGTTTACGTAACACTTAGCTACAGAATTTAATATTTATGTTGTCAGTGGTCTTCTAAGCTAATTACTTTAAATTTTAGTGCAAAAGTTATTATTTCACTTTTTCATAACCCTCTTTAAAAGAACAAACAAAGCCAGTATGCTGTCTGAAATTTGTGGGAAGGTGAGGCACAGGGTCAAATGCCTTAGGCTAATGCACGTGCAAGGAGAAATGGACCCAAATTGGTATGCTGCATCTACATTCTTACTCCTTTTGTCTTTGTTTATGCTTAAGTACCATTAAAATAAATGTTGTTTAGTTGCAAAGGCAAGCAATTAAACAGAAATTGCAGAATTCAGCTTATCCATGCACCGAAGGATCTCATTTAACACTGCGACGTGACTATTATGAAGTGATACCCTCACTTTCCCAAGGGACGCCGCACTAGGTCCTTTGCTGAATATACAGTGAGTTTTTTCTGTCATTCATTCCTAAATGAATCCTTCCTTATTCTTCATCCCAGTTTTGCCATGTGACCTCTCTCCCTCACCCTTCCTACGGTATTTCCCCCCTACATCTAGTGTACGTGCATTGCAGGCTGTCCAGCAGCCTCGCTGCATGCCAATGAAGTGATGCTGTTGAGCGTAGGAGCTTTGCATGGGAGAGTGGCCTTAACTGCTAAAAACTGTGAGACACTCTCATTAATCTGAAACCAGCAAAACCCAGTGTTTGGGAATATTATTGGTGATTTGGCCTGCTGGATTAAATCCAATGATGTACATGAAACAGCCTTCAAGTAAACTAATCTTGAGGAACGATCTGGCATCCATTTCACCAAGTCCCAAGGGACTTCCCTAACCAATGGAGTAATAAGTCCTGCCATTTCTCAAGTTCTTCTTTGAAAATTGTGACTTTTCTTACGGGGAGGAGCAGAGGCAGATACACTACTGAGTAACCTACAACTTAGGCTGGAAGGTAGTATACGTGGGGTTTGAACTTGCTCAGCAGAAATGAGAATTGAATCTGGGACCCTGCAAACATTCTAGCTATTAAATTCCTGAATAGAAGAACCCTGTTACAGCCAATTCTTTGTGTTAATGAATGCAATAACCAACAGTATGTTTTGCACATAGTAGGCACGTACAGGATATTCTGTGAGTACACAAACTGGATCAGATCTGCCTTGGTGCATTGTAGCTGGAGGAACACCTCATTAGATATTCCTGATCACTCATAGGCATTTTTGACAGAAAAACAATTTCTCAGCCCGCTCTATATTGAATCACAACTGTGTTTGCTGAGATACAAACCTTTGCTTGTAAAAATGGAAACTTCTGTAGTATTATGTCCATAGGGTAACATAAGAGATAAAATAAGGATTTTTTTGGCCTTTGGTGCCTAAATCCTCCCTAAGACCTCAGTTTACACAGGATATGGACCTTTCCCTCTTTGAGTCTGTTATCTATATCATAAAGATGATGATGATAATATAATTATATATTATCTATAATAACTACAAATAGCTACCTCACAAGGATATTGGAAAAAGTACATTAAAATAATATTGTGTTCAGATAATTACAATATTGAGAGACTATTTACTCTTAGATAAATATTCTGGCTGGGGAAATGGCCATTCACTAACTAAGATAAGGCACAGTATAGCAACACATTCTTCATTTTCTACTCTGTCACCTCTCTTCTACTTTATGCGTGTCTCCCAAAATGTGTAACAGAACAGAGAGTTAAAATGGAGAGATGAAAAAGTACTGGTATTTCCTCTTGTTTCACATGGAGCAGTCCCTTAATAACTCACAGCAAGATAAACAAGAGGGAGGGGGAAGTCAGCCAGTAAAGACAGACGCAACTGCAGTGATGCAAAGTAGTCAAAAAGTTATTAAACAGGGAGGAATTTTTACCAGTACAAATCAATTAGCAAAAGTTTGTCTCACGACTGGGTGTTTCTAAAATGTACACATATACACACATGCAAGCATGCATAGATACAGGGGTAGGATTAAAAAGGCCACGCTAAACTCTGTGACACGTGGAAAATCACATAAACCCATGAAATGACAGTTTTCATATAGATGAATGGATCTTGCAGAGAGCAAACTAATATCTCCTTCCACGTGGTAGCATTCTCCCCAGCTTGGCATAACACCGTGTCTGCTTTAGTCTTCAGTTCCTTTTGAATAAGGAGGGGGATGCATAGCCGACTCGCACATTAATGATCTCTGGTAAAAATATATACGTGACCCAGATGCCATTTTCTCACTCTGTTTTTGAGAACACTTAGGCCTTGGAGTAAACATTTATTCTAAACAATTCAGGAGGAATGTGCCTGCTCAGCATTGCCTAGGATTAGCGGGGAGGGCTGGAGTATAGCTTTATTCACAGTAAAGAAATATGTGATAGAGAAGTATGCTTTGACAAGGCTAATATTATTATTAACTGTACAAAGATTTGCCTTGTTAACCCTTCAAGGGGGTTCTGGGTGATTTTTGCATATTTTATAAAGTAGCACTGCTTGCCACACCAGCATAGCTTCCAAGTCACCGCGCTGCGGTGCCAAATGTGCTGTCTTAAAGATGGTGGATAAAAATCAGTGCTCTGCTCACTGAGGAGGCCGGATCGTCAGCTGCGGCAGGATGGCAAAGCATCATTGTTGTCATTGAAGTGGTCTAAACTGAGACTTAATGAGGCTCCATCTTATAGTCATTAACATTACCATAATAATTGTCACAAAATCTTTTGTTAACTGTTGTGCGTTGGACAGATTCATCCAAGATTAATGAGCTGCTGTCTGTTTTGAGTCATTTTAGTTGGGGCTGTCTTTACCTCCTGACTATGCACTCTTGTGTACATTAATGTGAGTTGTTAAAAGACTGCTCCGTGCCAATGCTCACATAGTTGGCTGGATTTCGGTGACACCTTTTATGATTTCTGTAACTGAACACGAGAACTCCTGACTGATAAAAAAAAAAATAAACGTCTGTGTATAAAGCCATTCAATTATGTGAAGTATTTTAATTTTCTATTTATTATATACGCTGTGCTAATTTTGTCTGTTCTTAATAGCCCTTTAATTAAAGGAGATTTTTCTACTCTTTTGATTTTGTAATAATCATATCCCTGTCCTTTAATCTAGCCACCACTTGTTGTCTACTTGAGTCTCTCCTCCTGACTGTAGCTGTTAGTCCATGAGTACAAACACCCCAGAGGTTGGGGGGCCACAGTGTGAACTGGGTGCTGTGGAGGCAGACAGAAAGTTATGTCTCTGGGCTTCAGAGAAACTCAGCTAAACACAGAGGGCAGGTAAGGCCATGGAGAGGTGGTAACAAGAACGACAAGATGCACGTTGCCTCTGTAGCTGGGCAGGCACCACAGTCACCTTAGGTAGCTACACACACGTCCTGCAACAACAGCTTGTAATTTTTCTCTGTAAAGCTCCACTCACTCTGATCTCCTAAAAGTTGTTTTGCTCTTCTTGTTGGAATTGCCTCTCATCCCTCCGGCCTTATCTATTACATTATGCCAGCTGCAAGGTATGAAAACACTCTCCCACTGATTCAACCACATCATGCCATTCTCAAGTCTTTAGACAGTTTCTGTATTGCTAAAGGCTTGAGATTTAGACAGTTTATTTTTTCTTCCCACAGAGTGGTTTAGGGGCCTTTATCATTCGGTAGATATTTCAGATCTTGAAAATTAACCATAACCATGCAAATGTAAAGCATAAAGCTCCGAAAAAGCAGAAATCAACTTTAAGTTAACCAAAACTCTTCTGAAAGACTCAGAAAAGTACAAAACAATTTTTGGAACTGCACGTGCTGCACTGGGACAGGCTTTCCCAATGAAATGTAACCTAGAAGATAGTAGAAATCAATACAGGCTGGAGGATGAAGGGATTGGTAGCAGCCCTGCCAAGAAGGATTTGGGGATACTGATGGATGAAAAGCTGGACATGAGCCGGCAATGTGTGCTTGTAGCCCAGAAGGCCAACCACATCCTAGGCTGCATCCAAAGCAGCATGGCCAGCAGGTCGAGGGAGGGGATTCTGCCCCTCTACTCCACTCTGGTGAGGCCCCACCTGGAGTCCTGCATCCAGCTCTGGAGCCCTCAGCACAGGAAAGACATGGGCCTCTTGGAGCGGGTCCAGAGGAGGCCACCAAAATGATCAGAGGGATGGAACAGCTCTGCTGTGAGGACAGGCTGGGAGAGTTGGGAGTGCTCAGCCTGGAGAAGAGAAGGCTCTGGGTAGAGCAGCCTTTGCTGCTAAAGGGGCGTTTTAGCAGATGTTTTAGCAGGGCCTGTTGCAATAGGACAAGGGGCAATGGTTTTAAACTAAAAGAGGGTAGGTTTAGACTAGATATAAGGAAGAAATTTTTCACAATGATGGTGATGAAACCCTGACACAGGTTGCCCAGAGAGGTGGTAGATGCCCCATCCCTGGAAACATTCCAGGTCAGGTTGGACGGGGCTCTGAGCAACCTGATCGAGTTGAAGATGTTCCTGCTCACTGCAGGGGGTTGGACTAGATGACCTTTGAAGGTCCTTTCCAACCCAAACCATTCTATGATTCTATGATAAGC